TTGAATATAATTATTAGTTTTTGATGCTAATCATTTTGGTTTAACAGCTGTTGAGGAAGTAAAACACTCAAGCAACACAAATGATATGAAAGAAAAATGTAGCGAAAAGAAAGAACGCCAAGTTTTGACATGAAAAAGCTTGAAATCAGAAAAAAATCACGGAGCCACACCACATTAATAAATTTATAAGTAACATAATTATATATTAAATATTAAATGTACTTTCTTGTTTCCAGCTGTACATTTCCTATTGTTTAAGCCAAAGCAGAATGACTTATATATAGCTGGGTATTAGGCTGTAACATTAAAACAAAATAATATATTACATTTCCTGTTTACTGTTCTTCTTCCTGTTTTTCCGTTTCTTTATGGTATCAGAGCAGGTCGAAAATGGGCGACTCATCTACCTCGGAAAACTTTGAAGAATCACATGCAGAGAATCAAGAAGAGCTGCAGATCTCCTTGTCGCTAAAATTTGTCGTGACGAACATCAAGAACATAGCTCTGATCCATCTTGAATCGAAGAACTATGCCATTTGGAAACCACAAATCCTCAAAATCTTCAGTGCTCATCGATTTCATCGGTTCCTAGACTCTTCTATTCCTCCTCCAGATAAGTTTCTCACTAAATCGAATGGCTCCTCCACAAACAATCCCTCTTTCACCCAATGGCATCTCACCGACAAAATACTCGTTGCAGCCCTCTGTTCCACAATCTCCGCATCCATTTTGCCCTACATTGTAAACCTTGAATCAACTGCTGAAATCTGGGCAGTTCTTGCAACTCGGTTTCAATCCTCCAATAGATCTAAAGTAATCTAACTCAAGAACACTCTTCATAACATCTCTCTCAAAAATCTTACCATGACTCAATATCTTGGGGAGATTAAAATTCTTGTTGATCAGATTGCTGTCGACGGTTCCATGGTAGACACTGAAGATATTATTCTTTATATCCTAAATGGTCTTCCCACATCCTATCAACCCTTCAAAACTGCCATCCGAACTATGCTCACCCCTATTTCTCTAGATCAACTATACCCTCTTTTACTGAGTGAAGAAATAAATCTTGTCCTCGATGATGTTCGCAATTTCGCGTCCCCTGATCCAACTCTGGCTCTTTATGCCAACCGTGGCAAATTCCGCAAAAATAAATCCAGATTTCCAAATGCTGCTCCCAGTTTCGATAAAAACTCTGCATCTCAGAACATGTTTTGTCAAAATTGCCTCAAGAAAGGGCATTCGGTGCCAAATTGTTGGCATAGACTCAATCCGCAGTATGTGCCAAATTTAACCGCTAGCTCCAACAAAGCTCTTGTTGCTGCCTCAGACAACCAAAACAACAGTTGGCTTCTTGATTCGGGCGCTACGTCGCATCTTACAAGAACACTGGACAACATGTCGCTAGCAAATTCCTACCAAGGAACCGACAGTATCACTGTTTAAATTCAGGCTAAGCACCAAGCTCTCTCGGCTACATCCAAAACACACATCTGGCATTCCAGACTTGGACATCCGCATGACAGAATTTTATCTACCATTGCACACAATAATCCGCATTTATACATTTCTTCTTTTGTTTCTACATGCTTATCTTGTAAAAGTTCTAAAGCTCACAAACTTGCCTTTGATAAGTTTGCTAATAGGCAAAATTTGTTACTTTCTCTTATACACTCGGATGTTTGGGGACCTTCTCCGGTCCCATCTGTGCAAGGTTTTAGATATTACGTGATTTTTGTTGATGATTTTTCAAGATTTACATGGCTTTTTCCTATTAAACAAAAATCTGAAGTTACTATTGTTTTTATAAATTTTAAACGGCAAATTGAAAACTATATATCTCGGTCTATTAAAATCTTGCGCACAGATGGTGGCACAGAATACATCAATACTGCGTTAAAACAATTTCTTATACAAAATGGCATTATTCATCAGGTTTCTTGCCCATATACTACGGAGAAAAACGCAGTTGCAGAGCACAAGCATAGACATATTATTGAGACTACAAGAACATTACTTTCCACAGCTTCAGTTCCATATCAATATTGGCCTGACGCAACGCTAACTTCGGTTTATTTGATTAACAGGATGCCTTCCTCAGTTACATTCAACATAGCTCCGTTCGAACTACTTCATCACACCAAACCTGACTACATGCATCTACGTGTATTCGGGTGTGCGTGTTTCCCACTAGCTCCACCGCATACTCATCACAAGCTTCAACCCAAAGCCAAAATGTGTGTCTTCTTGGGTTACTCCAAAACTTATAAAGGATATCGGTGTCTTGACCTTACTAACAACAAAATTTTTATCTCTCACAATACTACTTTTGATGAACAATTATTTCCTTTTTCAAACAATGCTCATACTAACCAATATTCTGAAGATTCATCACCGTTTTTACTTATTCCTACTTCTGTTAGCAATCTGTCTCAGCCCAGCAATCCAGAACCTCCGAACATTACCTTCTTATCTTGTTTCTCTCGGGTTTCATCATAGTAATGCCGATCCTTCCCTTCTTATTTTTAATAAAAACAATATTAAAATTTACTTGCTTATGTATGTCGATGACATACTTATAACTAGTAACAACTCAAGTTTATTCAATCTACTATTTCCAAACTCAATGCTCGATTTACCATGAAACATTTGGGAGAGGCAAACAATTTCTTACGAATTAAGATTACTAATACTACAGATTCTTATTTCTTATCGCAGCAGCTATACACTCACAAGATTTTGCACCAAGCTCAACTTACTGCCTGTAAACCATTAGCTAACCCGAACTGCACAAAGATACCTGAGAAAATTCTGTTGGATCCGATACTCACCGATCCACAAATCTACCGTACAATCACTGGATCATTACAATACCTAACAATCACTAGGCCATACATCGCATTCAGCGTCAACCAACTTTCTCAACACATGCACAATCCTCTTCCTATACACTTCTATCTTCTAAAACGGCTTCTACGATATCTCAAAGGTACAAGTCATTATGGTCTTCCTATTTCTAAATCTAATCTTCGTCTCACTTCTTTTTCAGATGCGGACTGGGCTTGCGATCCTACTTCAAGAAGATCTACCTCAGGCTACTGCTCATTCCTTGGCTCCAATCTCATCACATGGACAGTCGAAAAGCAACACACAGTTGCGCGATCCTCAGCTGAATCTGAATATCGGGCGTTAGCTGCTCTCACAGCCGATGTTCTTTGGATTCGACGTCTTCTTCAAGATTTCGGTATATCACAGACAGATCCTACTACCATGTATTGTGATAATACCTCTTCTATAGCCTTAGCCAACAATCTAGTCTTTCATGCTCGAACAAAGCATATTGAGATCGATAAAAAATTCATTCGAGATCATCTGCAAAATGAAAATATTCGACTTCTACCTATCTCTACTACGGATCAAACATCAGACATTTTTACTAAAGCCTTGTCCACTCCTAGATTTTTGTTACTTCGGGACAAACTCACTGTTACTCCGCACTCGTTAGTTTGAAGGGGTGTATAAGTAACATAATTATATATTAAATATTAAATGTACTTTCTTGTTTCCAGCTGTACATTTCCTATTGGTTAAGCCAAAGCAGAATGGCTTATATATAGCTGGGTATTAGGCTGTAACAGTAAAACGAAATAATAGATTACATTTCCTGTTTAATGTTCTTTTTCCTGTTTTCCGTTTCTTTAAAATTCACTATGAAATTTTAGAAGAAATAGTACATTTATTTCTTCTCTCACTCTATTCCTGTCTCTTTTCTCTTGTATATCATTCTATATCAAGAACTTACAAAGATATACACAAGAAAACCACCAAGGGGCGCAACCCTTCATGAAAAATGCGTAAGATTTATGCTAGTCCGTCTCGAAGCGCTGCGGTGCTCAACTCTCTTACTCCAATCTGCATAACAGTGCCACATCGCCAGGGTCTTAAGCATCGCAACACTGCATCCGATGTTTGGAGCATCGTTGTGCTCCGCTCGTTGTCTATCTCCAAGTAAATTATATAGCACACAACGCTAAGGTACACAGCTCTACAGTAGTTGATGGTTGTACGGGGAAGAAAAAAATCATGCAAGTGGAGGACCCAGGGCGAGCTCGACTGATGAAATTTTCATCCAAAATAGCAATATAACCTGATTGATTACACAATCAAATTCCACTAAAAACTAACGCTAACAACATCTTTTTATCTTCATGTACGTACGCAAAATGTCGCAATACTCTTACATCAATGAAGCTGAACGTAACTCTCAGTATTAAAGAATCAAAAGAGAATAAAAAATTTCACTCCAATCTTAGAATAACTTAGTTTTTGTAATATTTATGATTACTAAAATTTTTTTAAAAAAATTTACATTAGACATAATGATATAAGATTTTTTATGCACTAATTTACGTTAAAAAAAATTATTATCTCAGTTCCAGTGCCTCAAATGATATATAGAAGCCAACAGAAGATCATTGTCTTTTATACATATATCAGTAGTGTTGATATGAAAAATTTATTGTGTGGGCCCTGACAGCATCAAGAGACCAACAAAAATACGTCACGTTATTTTTTTGCTCGATATCATTGTATACTGAATGACATGACACGTTCTGATTGGTCTACGAACCGTTTGGTGTTCGGGCATAATAATTTCTTGTTGAAATGGCATTAGGACTGCAAACGAACCAAACCAAGTCGAGTATGTGAGTGTTCATGTTTGTGCTCATTTAATATCAGGTTGTTCAAGTTTGGTTCATGTTTGTTCGAGCTTTAATTCCCTCCACTAAAAGTTATTTTCTAATCTAAATCTTCCAAATTATTTTGGATTATGATAGTTAGATTATTTACATTTTATAAATAATTTTTAATTTTAAAAAACAACTCTATGCATATAAAATGAATGAAATAATTAGGATTAGGATTATACTTCCTATGTTATAAAAAAAACAAAATATGTTTTTTATGTCATTCGAAGCAAATTTATAGATAAATTGAACGTCTAAATTCGAAATAAATAAAAAATAACACTTTTTTAAATGAAAAAATAAAAATGGACTAAATAAATTTTTTCGTCCACACTCGCCAAATTTAAAACAGCCAGATAGGTTAAAGAAGTTATCATCTAAATTCAAACTTCAGAGTTCAGGCCATTAGATTGAAATACTATTCGGGATGCCCTTCGCTGTGATCCCGCTCTCACTGTAAGGAGAGAGAAGGGAGTAAGGCATCTTGACTGGCCCGTTGCGATTCTTCAGGCTAGGCTCACTATTCAACCTCGCAATCTTCTTCTCAATCTCCTTCAGCTTGGCACTGAAGCGATTCCACGCATCGATCGCGCGTTCATCCCTGCTCCACTCGGCGCTCACCCTCTGCCCCAAATACACCTCATCGCTTGTGTGAGTCGATAGCACTTCGATCAGTGAAATCCCGACAATGGTGTGCAACTGGCACGCGATCGTTTTCAAGAAAACCTTCTCCGGGTTCTTCTGAAGCTCGCCGTACTCAGCCGAGCCAATCTCTGGCATGAACCGGCGGCTCATTGTAGGCCTGTTTGGGACGTAGCCGGCGTACGGGTACTGGCCAAAGTTGACTGCGGCGTGCATGGCGGAAGCCACCCATATGATGGTGGCACACGAGTTGACCAGCTCCGGCACCCTCCTCATCTCCGGCCACCACGGCGCATCTTTCTTGTCACCATGGCCGACCTCACGCACCTCCTTCCACCAAGCCTGCAGCTCCTCATCACACTGCACGGCTGAGTCATCGTGGTAGTAGATGGCACAGTACTCGCAAACCCAAGCCTCGATCGCTGACCAAATGGCGAGCCCATCTACTGCATATGGGTAATCTTCGATCAGGAGCCGGAGCTTGTGCGGCCTCGACGGGTCCTCCACCGCCATTCCCCGCTTGAGGAGATCGGATGGAAGTCCCTGTTCGACGAAATTCCAGCTCTTGTAAGCCATGGAGGACATTTCAAGAGCATACCTGGAAGGAAAGATGATGAACTCGAGAAGGCCATCGGCATTGACGAGGCTCTGTCGAGCCAAACCATTTATGTTCATGGTGTCACGGTAGTGAGGCATGAGTAGCTTGTTGATTGGATGCATCGAGCTTAATTGACGATTTGTGGCAATCACAAACGGCTCAATCACCGCATGAGTGCGCAGCCTGGCATGGAAGACATTGAAACGTCAAGTAATTACAATAGACATAGAAAACTAAAATAGCCAAATTGCATTGGTTCAATTGGGCCGTTTTACCGTTCTGGAGCTAATTAGCTAAAGGAAGTGATCTATAGATACCAAAAAGTTCCATGAACAAGTATATACCAGTGGCTAATAAGCTGATGAACGCACGAGTCGTTGATGACGACATAGGATTTTGCTAGCGTCCAAACTGAACCCTCGACGCCAGAAATGGCTGGGGTATACACAGTACTTATTGCACCAAGTGTATCGTCACCGGGATGCGGCAAGCTAAGCTCAATGGAAAGTGGTTTTAGAGTGTTATCATCATTAAGGAAGAGGAGCGTTCGCGAGGCATAAACCTTACGGTCAGTAGCATTGATGCGCCTTAGATATGGCATAATGGAGTCATGATGGTCGAGAATAAAGAGCCTGTTACAGTCAAGTGCCTGCACAATTGGAAAGAAGCAACTAAACAAATTTAATTGAATCTCTTTTATAGGCAATTAATTGAGCTGAAAATCAAATTAGAGGATGTTAGAAAGCTGAACTTACTTGTTGGACTGAAAGGCCGTGTAGGTTCCTTTCGATATGGTCCAGTTTTATTGTGCTATTCTGGTTGCCATATTGCCTGGGATCGAGCTTACTGGTTGGTGGGAATTCCTGTAAAAATCTTAACAAAATCAGCTAGTTGTTTTCTTAAGAGCAAGGATTGTTAATTTCTCATGTATGCTCTAATTATTTTGATAATTGTACATACAATCAGGGATCAGATCCAGCCTTAATTTTTAAAGGGATAAGTAAAAGTGTAGAGTTTTTTTTTCATAAATATAATTAAAACTAAAATTTATTCCGAGAGCGTTGTCTGTTGACCCGTATTTATTCATCGTTATACTCTTCACAGATATGTCAGGGGTCTAAGGGGAAACCGCCTCCAAGTGGGGTTCGACCATACAAATTTTGAATTTTCTTTACTATTTTTCTTTGCATTTGGTTCATGGTTTTCTAACAATAACATCTCTACATAATGTGTTTAATTATGTTGGGGCAATTGCCTAAAAACTATAGTAGTTTAAAATTTTGAAGGAAGACAAAATTGAGGATGATTCAAATCTAATCATCAAAAGTATAGTTAGGCCAATTAAGATAGATTCACACACATATCACATACACAAGATTCGAATTCAAAACTTCTTAGTTGATAACCTAAGCTCCCAACCAACAGATCAAGATAAGCTGTCTGGGCCATTTCTCATAAAATAAAAATAACCATGTACAAATGATTAACAGAGCACATACAATACCTTGAGGCGTTGGATGATGATAGGGTTAACGCCGGCCAACATTTCTCTCGCAAACTCTTCATCGGTCCTCCATGCCCACTTATCATCTTAGTTCATCGTTGCAACCCAAAAAACAATAATATTTACACTTAGTATGATCAAGCAAGTGGCTAAAAGAAACCAAGGGACATCAGTGAGAGAACCTACTTTGAATAACTTGAGGCATTGGTAATTTGAGGAAGCTGCACTGGCCGTTGATGGGGATAAGGGCGCTCTTGAAAAACCCCATTGGCAAGGCCTGAAAGAACTTGCGAAGCATAGGGATGTCAGGCAATGGCAAGCCACTCTCGTAGAGCTTGAGCAGGTCTTCAAAGGATACGAACTCTTCGTTCGTGAAGTTCAAGACGGCCCTGAATATTGGTAGCAGGTCCTTGGCCACTGTTTTTATGCCGTGGCCTACGAAGTCGGACATCTTGATGCGCCCGAACCGCTCGTCGCGTGGCACATAGATCTTAAACTGATCAAGCTTGCCAAGCCGGCTCTCCGACTTTGGATCTACAGAAAGTTATCAACATTCTTAGGCGTTGCAAGGTGTGTCAAGAAAGAGGAAAATTAGTTCGCGCGGAGTTTGGATGTAGCCCATGTCTGATCTCTAATGAAATCAAGTACTTGACTTGTAAACACTATGTATAATTTATACACAAGTCACATGACTTGATTTCATTGGAGTCTGAATAAATCCGGTGACTTGTACACAAAAAACCACAAGAATTGATTCTATTGGAGTCACAATAGACTCGGTATGTAATAATTTCTCCAATAAAAAAAGATTGGATGTATTGAACAAGCTTTAGCCCTTTAGTTAAAGAAATTATTATGTGCGATCACCCAACGCAGTTCGAAGGCGAATCAGGAGGCGCAACTTCATTTTTTTGGTTGTATACATAGTGATATGACGCATCCTGATTTAGCTCGAGACCATCTTTGACTCACAAAATAATTTTCCCTTTCATTAAGGCAGAGCTTCAAATTCTTTTTATTTGCAGTAAAATTAGTGCTGAGCTCAAAAGTATCGAAATTAAAATAATAATAAAAAAACTCATCTTGATGCTTTTTATGACATAATATTTTAATATAATTTTTTTCAATATTTTATTGTCAAATAAAAAAGGAAATTACTTAATAAAAGCCTTATTTATATTGAAATCGAAACAACTGTGTTAGATAAATTTATTTGACACAAATAACAATAAAGCGATGTAAATTGATTAAATGATAGAAAAGATTTGATTAATTATTAGAAAATAATTTCAATTATACTTAAGAATATCTAATGACAATTAAATTAAATTTTGAGTATCGATAAATTAAATTGTAGTTAGAATAATAATTAAAATAACATAATACTTTTTATGTCATAATAAACAATTTTGTTGGCGAAAAAGAAAATTTATCAATATCTTAAATAAAATTTCGATTTTAAAAGTCATATCTCATTATTTTCTTAATAACGTCAATTTTTTTTTTTGTACAAAAGAACTTCAAACAATATTAGTTAGTTTAATTTTTATTAAATTCTTTAAAATTTTATTTATATTTTGTTAAAATACTTAATTAATGATCTAATAAGATCATTACAAAATTTGGCCTGATGCCCTATTTGGCAGTGCAACCTGGTTATATGTTTTGATGGTTTTTTATTTTTTATAGTGATTTGTTTTGCTGTGTGCTATTGTAGTGCAAGTAAAATTAATGATTAGTTGTTTTAAGTGTGGCCAATCTTGTTGTTTGGGCAATTGTGATAGAAAAATTTATTTGAAAATTTTAATTTTGAAGAAAAAATAATCAAATGTTAAAAAAATAAGGTGTGATTTTTAATTAGAGAAGTAATATCAATTATTTTTAAAATATTTACAAATTATTAATTAAAATATTATTATTTATTATGTCTTCATGTTCAACCCTGATTCGTCCGATCGAATCATAAACCTATCATTCTTCCGGTTCGTTGTCCAGCCCGATTTTCACAAACTTGATGAATAATATAAAAATTAAAATATATGCTAGGTGATATTTCAGAATAATTTATACAATAAATAACGTTTAATTAAAAAAATGTACAATCATATATCTATAAAAATATCTTATATGATAACTAAAAATAAAATAAAATAAACCAAAGATATTTTTGTCTGAAGAAGCTGTTTTAAGTGTTTGGAGAATATGTTCACTTAAAATTTTCATTACAACCCATTTTTTTAAACTTTTATACCGCTGATTTTATCTTCTTACATTATACCTAAAATCCCCTAAATAAATTTGAAGGGGGTGTTTGGTATAGGATTGGATTCAATTTTAGTAGGATTTACTAAATCCTAGAAACTTGGCGAAGAGTGAAGGTCCGACGTCGGGTAGAAGTCCGGCGTCTGTTGGTGGCAGAGGAGAACTCCAGCATCACTTGGGCGGAGTTTCGGCGTCAGGAGGGAACTCTGTCGTTAATTGAGAAGAATTTCCACATCCCATGGAAGTTGGGCTGAATTCTGGCGTTCTCCCGAATATCTGGCAGAGTTCTGATGTATTCAGGCGGCGAGAAGAACTCCGGCGGTGGTCGAGGAGGAGAGGATTCTCCTTTTCGCCTTTCTCTTCTTCTTCCCTTCTTCTTCTCTCTCTTCACTTGAGTCCACTTTGTGTAGAATGAGGGCTCTATTTATAGTTTTTTTGGAGTGGCAAAGCCCGTAAATAGAGGTGAGATCATGGGCGAATTGGGAGTGGTTTGAATGGACAGATGATATCGAATCCTTTGATCATGCACCGTTTGTTTGACATTTGAAGTCCTTAATGATGTTGGAATTCGGCGATCTTGGGCTCGTTGGATTTGTCTCGTCGAGCCGCTCGATTCGAGTACATGCTCGTTAAAATCGGAGATTGTTTGGTAACTCAAATTGCAGTTTGAACCTTCCAACAGCTCTTCGGGTCCACGATTCGGACCCATTTGGGCTCGGATTGAGTCAAATTTGGTGTCGTTGGGTTCGTATTTCCGAGATGCTCAGTTTGACTGTAAGTTTGCTGAAATCGGAGTTCAGGTGCTCCCGAATTTAATTTTCGAAGCTTCCAACTTGATTTTTGCCTCGAGATTCGTGCCCGATAAAGCTAATTTTTGCATGACGTATCAATATTAATTAAGATAATTATAATGAGTTTTAACTACTAATTATATTACTAACTATTTGATTTTTGCCTCGTTTCTTCAGACGTTACAACATTTTGATCTGAAGCAACGACGGTAGCTCACTCACTGTGAAGGTAACTTTCTCCCATTCGCGCGCTTCTTCCGCCAAATCCCGTAAATCCGACTTCTAGCTGGATTAAGATTTGCCGGGATTTAGCGTAAATCCGCAAATCCGAGATTTACGAATTTGCCGGATTTACCGCGACTTTTTTTGCGTTTGGGTGGATTTACCCTAAATCCTACTAAAAACTACAAATAAATCCGATACCAAACTCCCCCGAAATATTAAAAAATAAATTTGTCGAAAAGTAGACGCACCAGTCTTTGACGGCGGGCGGCCGGTCTTGCAGCGGCGGGGGTATGGGAACTCGGCCGAGCCACCGAGTACTGGCCGGGCCAAATTCGGGTTCTCGTCCGGGTTGCCGAGATCATTATAGTAGTCGTAGCTGTAAACGCGGTCCCATTTCTCTAGCTTACGGTTCACACCATCTCCTCGAAGGTTGCGCAGCTCGTCCAGCCGGTACGGCCGTAGCGGCTCCGGCGTGCGCTTTGGCAAGTAGGACTGCAACCCCCCTTAGAGTTTCAGTTTAAATTTGCTCATATTGCTCTGCTAATAAGTTAGTACATATATACGCAAGGTATTCGACGAAATTAATGCGAGGTAGCGAGCTACAGTTCTTACGTTGTTGGCGAAAAAGATGCGGTCGTAAGAGTATTTATCGGAGCTGTAAACCCAGGAGTTGCAATCGAAGTGGATCCGCCCCTTTCCCGGGAAGTTTTCGATGGTGATGCACTTGAGGTAGAACTGCTGCCGGTGGCAGTTCCGTACAATGACGGCGCCGGGTATCCCCTGGCTTTCGCCCACCATGAACTTCACCACATACGTTTTCTCGCCGGCGACAAGTTTTGGAATGACCGGAAGCTTCGTCGGCGCCAGGTATGCCGGCGGCCCCACCACCCCTCTGTTCCCGTTATCTGCGCGGATGTTAACGAAGCTATAATCTCCGGAGACATGAGCTTAATGGTGAGTGATACCGTGATCTTCGACGTAGAAGCAAAGAGGCATAAGTTCTTTCACAAAAAAAAAAAATCATCTACTAACTTTGATATATTTATTAAATAATTTAGTAGTATTAAGAGATTTGTGTCGTAAAAACACTTTCATCTAAATAAAAATATATATTAGAATGTAATATTTTTGCCCATTTATAAGTAAAAAAAAAGATATTCCTTTATAATTTGTATCACAAAACATGCTTCAAAGTTCTTAAATTTATATGTAAATTAATGTGGCCTTTATATATAATTTATAGCACAAACCTCAACATACGTATAATAGCTTTAAAGTCAATCACGAGGATATTCTTATTAATTTTATTCTATTTTTATTTTTGGAAAAATTAGTTATTTTTAATTTAAAATATAGTTGCTATAAAGCATCATTTTTAGCCACTCCAAATGAAGAAATTATTATGTGCGGAGCCCGGATGAGAAGAATCATTCAGACATATGAGTATACACACCGTATAAAAATTTGTACATAATATGTATCAAATTTTTATCCACATAGTGTATATACTTAACATATATATCCGGACTATTTTTCTCATTTGGACTCCACATAGAATAATTTCTCCTCCAAATGAAACCCCTCAGGGCACAATTGGTTCTAGCTCCTGTTCTCAAATTACAAAGAACCAAATAAGGAAGCAAAGGAGAACACACTAGGATCGCCGACGGTGGCGCTGACGAGTCGGAACTCGACTTTCTGGCCGAGAAAGTCATGTATTTGGTCGAGAATGGCGGCGTTAACGCCGTTGAGATCAAGCACATTCTTGTTCATCAGCACCACCTTGGCCTTCACTTTCGTCTCCTTCTTTCCCCGAGATAACATATCCTTCATTAGGTCACGCATCATCTTTGTTGCCACTCTTTACCAGAAACTGCTATAAGAATAAAGCAAAGAGGGATGAAGAAGGAGCAGGCGTGAGTGGTGAGTACTGCTGTGCTTGGGATTTTTCGGGCTAAGAAGCAATTTATAGAAGCCTCCTTGCGGAAATAAATGTTTGGGACAGTTGCAGCATTGATTCTTCTGTTTCATGGCTTCAAGAGATGTGAGGTGAAATAATCAATGGTGATTGATGACTCATTAATGACTGAGTGGTTGGAATGTTTTTACTGTTATGTCCTTCCAATCTAAACAGGATAAAAATATAATAAAGAAAGACTTTGACCTGTTTGGTCAGCATTACTGCCAAAATTTGATGGGTGTGGACCAGCGATTCATCAGTGACGTGATTCCTTCATTATTCTTCAATTCTGTTTATGTTTATCCGTAGTTAAATTTTATACAATTGACTTTAGCGTCAACTCTTTAATAAAAAAGGACAAATTTTAGAAAAAAGGCCCTGTTAATAGGAGTTATTAGACATAACCTCACCAACAACAACAACAAATTTTTAACCAATTATGTGAGGTCACTAACATGAATCTTTTTTCTCCATTATATATTGTTAAGAGTCAAATTTTAATTTAAATCTCATAAAAAAAGATCATTTCTAATATTTTATAACCAAATCGTTTTAGATCTACATCTATCTTTCTTAAGATAAATAAAATCTAATACATCTACTTTCCTAACTGGGTCATCAAAATGCCGTTATTGGTGACCAAATAATATAAAGTGACTCTCTTTAATCTTATCTTCCCCTCGAGCTAATCCAACCTTTTCAAGTATATGATCATTTTGTATCCTGTCTGTAGAGAGTAAAGTAACTCATCCACATGAGCATCCTCATCTCTGCAACACTTGATAAAATTATTGATATATCATCAAAATAATTATTATGATCGGGCACGAATCTCGAACCAAAATCAAGTTTAAAACTTTAAAAATTAAATAGGAGATCATATGAACTCCGATTTTAGTGAACTTATAATCGAACTGAACGTCTTGAAAATACGAACCCAACAATACCAAACACAACCCAATCCGAGCTCAAATAGATCCAAAATCAAAGACTCGAAGAATATCTGGATTGTTCAAACCATAATTTGGATTAAGAAATGGTCTTCAAATATGACATTTTTATAGTTAAATCGAGTGGCTTGACTAGATGAATCCAACGAGTTCAAGATAATGAAATTTCGATATTGCTAAGACATTCAAATGCTTGCTAAACGGTCCACGATCAAGGGAACTAATATCGGCCGTCCAATCAAACCACTCCCAATTCACCCTTGTTCTTCCTCCTATTTATTGGTCATGTCACTCTAAAAAAATTATAAATAGACCCTCATTTCTCATAGAAGAAGACCCCTAAATAGGGGTGTCAATATTTGACACGACACAAAAATCCGACCCGTACCCGACCCGAAAAATCCAAGTTGGACCCGACTTGATTTCAAAATGGGTCTGATTCGGGTTCCCGGATTCGACCCGTTTGAAAAATGGGTCAGGTTTGGGTTGACCCGACGGGTTGCCGAGTCAACCCGAAATCCCGTTTAAATAGAACTACTAGCAGCTCCCCCCGCCTGCCAGCTGATGCCAGAGCTACCCCAATGCCCGCCTGCCATCTATCGAATGTGAGCGACCCCCGCTGCTGCCCGCAAGAGCCCCGCTGCTGCATGAGCTGCATCCGTACCCCCCCCCCCTCTCTCGCGTGCGTTCTTGCGAACCACGCGGTTTCTCTCCCTGTCTGCTCGCAGCCCTGCCGCCGGCCGTCCCGTGCACGCCGTCGACCTTCCCATGTGCTCGATGCCCGCCGTCCCGCCGCAGCCAGATGCCAAACCGTGTCGAATCGGGTCAACCCGCCAACCTGACGGATCGATTCCTGGTCCGGGTTTGAGTTCCCAACTCGTTTACATACTAGGGCCGGGTTAGGGTCAAACCGTTTGAACCCAGGTTAGTTCCGGGTTCAACCTGACCCGTGACCCAAAATTGACACCCCTACCCCTAGAGAGAGAAAGAGAAGGGGGTGGAGGGTGGAGAAGGAGGCCCAAGTAAGAAGAGAAGGAAGAAAATGAAAAAAAAAGCATGAGCTCTCTTGCCTCCAGACTCTTCCTCGACCATCGCTGGACTTCCACTTCCAGCCTACCTACGTCGGAGATCTGCTCGATTGCTGACCGATGAAGTTATTCCCAGCTGTCGACTGAAGCTGCAGTTTTGCACAACAGTCGACCGATGCTAGAGTTCTGCCCAACCACCAATTAATGCTGAAATTTTGTCCATCCGTCGATTGTCGTTAGATTTCTACCCGATATTAGATTTTGGCATGTCGTCGGACTTATGCATGTCATCGGACTTCTATAAGTAGCCGGACTGTCAGCTTTTGCCAGATTTCCACCCGACGTCGGACTTTACGCTCGTCAAAGGACTTCTGCCCGATCGCCAATTGACACCAGACTTTTACCTAACTTTCAACTGACATTGGACTTCTACCCGACTTCTAATTAATGCTAGTTTTTTTGCCTAGCCACCAATTAATGTCAAACTTTTGCAACACCACCAATTAATGCTGGATCTCCATGGCCTTTCGACTACGATCCTTCCGACCTTCGTCGCTCGCCGACTACACTTCTTCTGATCTTTATCGCTATATAACAGTCCTTCCGATCTCTGTCACATGTCGACTCTGATAATTCCAACCTCCGTCGCCAGACAACGGTATTTATAACCACCCTCCCTCGCTAACAATGATCCTTTCGGCCAAACGAACACATCGATCAATAGTGACTCTTCTTATTTCCACCATGTAACACACTCTGTATGATGTATATTTGTTACATCATGCCAAGGCCTTTCCCATAATTTATAGCCTCATTTGTAATCAACTGCAAATACTAGTTGATTCATTCAAACTAGGCTATGCTCCATGGTTTTTTCCTATTTTCAAGGGTTTTTCATATAAAAATTTTGGTGTCTCTTATAAATGATGCACCCTCTCTTTATACCTAATTGTGTGCTAGATCTTCTTACAAAACTAAAATGTTAAACTTTATATTCCTCTATTGCTGCTTATATGGCAAGACATTAAAATGTAGCTTATGTGACAGGACATTATAAAAATTTCTATCAAAACAGTCATATTAGACAAACATCAAATTCCAAATAGTTAGAAAAATGGCTTTGGTGACTCTTACTTTTTTTTTTAAATGTAGAATTAAATAAAATAATTTAATATTAGGTTCATTTTAAAAATTTGCCCTTAAAATTTTCCAATTTAAAAAACAACGCCATCAACTTATTAACAAACTAACCTTAATATAATATTTAATCAATTATTTATAATTTAAATTTATTCATCAAATCATCTAAAAAAACTTAATATGATTAATTAATATAAATTAGAACTAAATTTCAAATTTTGAAAAAAAAGAGAAAATTTTATTTTCCTGATAAAAAATAACATGCCTTAATCATTTGCCTAAAGTAATATTTATAGTAAAATATTCACATACCTCTTTTAATAGTAAATTATTATACTGTACACAATTTAAATTTTAATTCTTTAAAAATTAACTGTCTTCGTTTAGTATATCCACCGTTTTTTTTTAACCAGTCGCTGGGAGTTCTCACGATTGGCTCCAATTTAGGGCGAATTATTACTTCCGGTCACCAGACGTCCGGACATCCAATCCAGACGCACCACGTCACCCAAATACATTGGGATCTGATGTATTTTGGTGACGTGGAGCGTCTGGATTGGTGTCCGGACGAATCCGGACACCAGACGTAATAATTTGCCCCAGTTTAGCGCCATCCCTCGCACTCCAGCATCTAAGTCGAAAATTATTTTTTTTAATCATGCTATTATGGCTAATAACAATTATTATGGAGGCGGTTTTAAAAATTTGTCCAAAAGAATGGTGAATTACTAATGCAGATAAAATGGGGCAAATTCAAGCAGCTTGTCGACGATAATTGAGACTTTATTCGGATAAGTTTAATTTTTTCTTTTTAAAGCTCATTTATCGGTTATACTTAAAAAAAATTAAAAATAATTTGTTGAAGATATAAGTTTTAAAAAACGATAAAAAAAAAAAAAAACAATCTTACACGCAAAGGATATTTTTCACAAATTACTTTTTTTTTATGAAAAAAACAGCCAAAAAAATTCTTCCAAATAAAGGCTTCCTTTGGGATGACTTTCTTAGTGCTTCTTAAAGCACATTTCTATTAATTTTTGTAATAGAATATTGGTTTAAGAAGCAAAAAAAAAACCATCCCAAACAAAGCCTAAATCTGAATGGAATTAGAGCCCTATCAATTAATCAGTATCGTATGGCCAATTGTGCTCATTTTCCATAGGAGGGCTACTTACGTCCACATAATATGTCGAGATAAATTTGGATACATGAGAAAGAATTTTATTTATAATTTTATTCTTTGAAGACTACATTATTTAAGTGAGCTTCAATAAGTTTTTCTATACATAAAGTAACATTTTTTTTATTCATGTTTCAAAGAGTGCTTGTTTTAGATATCTCGAATCTATTGTTCAAAACAATGGTGAAATAAATGGAGATATTATTATTAGAATTCGAGTTGAATGGTTGAATTGGAAGAAATCATTTTTTTTTTTTTTTACAAAATACAACACACACCTAGCAAAATAAAAGCGACCAAACAAAAATGTGAATTACAAGCAAAGAGTGGGCTCAGTAAACAGTCCAGGCTTCAAACGTCCAAGCCGTCCCGCACGAACCATCCAGAAATAAATGGTTGCCACCAGCTTAACGACCGGGACGTGAGCCCCGACCACATTATCGCCCTCATCCACGCGTAGCACCAAATCGCAATAAAACCTAGCCTTCCAAATGATAAACAGCAATACGAACAATACAAAAGCATTCCAAATCATCTTTTTCGACGACCACGCCCCCAAAACTTTCCCCGAGAGGCAACTGAGGAACGAACAAGGGAAAAGTCATTATCCGACTCAGAACATTCAGAATCAACTTCCTCCTCTGACGAACCAATCAACCAACTGTTCTGATTCCTAATTTCTTTGCCCGAAGACTTCCCCACCCAATCAGCCATCCGAAGTGTATCAACCTCTTTTACAGGAATCTAAACTACATTGTTAACAATCTGAATCCCTTCCTCTACATTCAGAGACGGGCACGCAGCCTCAATCCCACTCGGTTCCACTCCAGC